CCCCGGTGGGGCAGGGACCGCTGACACCCACTCGCTCGCCTCCCTCCGCGATTACAGGAGCTGCAGGCTGCTCGGTCCCGGGTTGTCGGGACATCCCCTGACTCCGGGAGCTGGCGCCTCGGCGGTCCCGGGAGCCCGGCAGAGCAAGCCCAGATATGGTGGGTGGTGTTTGCCGCTCCCCTGTCCCAGGCAAAGCGCCCATCCCTGCCTTCCCTGCCCCGAAACTCTTTCCCTGCCTTCCACCCTCTCAACCTTGGCCTTTCTGTTTGCATTTCTGGCCTGTGGATCCCACTGTACCCCAGGGGTACAGCGAGCAAGCCGAGCCATGGGATCGCCAGCCCTCGAACTGAATGGATCTCCAGATGGGGACCAGGAGAAAAGCAAAAACTATTCCAAGGGCACAGATACCCAGTGAGCAAAAAAAACCCAACAATGGTGTTATTCTGCTCTGGTATGAGAAACTGCTCATGCTGTGTTAGTGTTAGGCAGGGGAGACAAGGTTAAAGATAAAGCTGGCTAGGAAGCCTGTACTGGGAATGAGATATAACTGGTGTGAACCAGAGGAGTGGAAGGGAGGCATGGATGCGATGTGGCCCTCCTGGAGATAACTCTGCCGGTAGCACCGCTTTGGGCTGATGTGACCCTGGAAATGCCTAATTTAGGTACAGATGTAGCAGCACTGGGACCGATGAGGGAAAAGTAATTGGGGATGGGTTGTTCGGGAGGAGTACGGGGGGAGAAAAGGAGGTGGTGGGGCAGCAAAAGGAAAAGGGGGGAACAAAGTGTAAAGTCAGGTAAAGAAAGGTGGGCTCTCCTGAAGCCAAGACACCTCGGGATGGTGGGGATGCTGACCTGCAGAAGGTGGAGGCTCCTGCCTGGCTTTGGCTCCACAGAGGGAAGGGAGGACACAGACCACACGGCTTTGCAGCATGAGCAGGGAAATGCTTTCCCACAGCGCCGTGAGTCCCCTGGATTGGGGGGGATGCTCGGCTACGGCTCCCCAGCATCTTCAGAGGCAAGAGGGTTGCTCCTCGCAGGCCACACGCACGCTCATGGCTCAGGTTTGGGAACGGTTTATTAGTCCTTGCCAGAAAGCTGTGGCTCCAGCCACAGCTTCAGCTCGGGGCAGAGAAAAGTCGTGCCCTGGCCCTGGGGACCCACTGTGCTTCCCCAGGGCAGGACAGGTTCAGGTCCATCCACTTCGTGGGAGGGAAGAGCAGCTTGCTGTTCACCTGTGGGGAGAAGCACCCTGAGCCTGACACTGATGGGCTCCAGGCAGTGGCCCCCATGTCTGGGACCTCTGCGTGGGGCACACGTGGTGGGATGTCCCCAGGCTGAAGGGGAGGAGGATGCCGCACTCACCCCGGAGCTGATGTACTCCTCCAGCAGCAGGCACAGCTCCGAGTTCTGCTGCTGCAGGAGGTCCACTTCGGCGAGCAAGCTGGCTCTCTGCATGAGGATCTCGCTGGGCAAGAAGGGCAGAGGGTTGACGCGGCCAGTTGACGCCAGCCCCTCTGAGGTTCCCCCAGCCATGCCACCAGACTGCCCTGTCCCCAACAGCACTGGCAGGCACTCACTAATATTCCTCCAGTGCCACTGCCAGCGCATCCCACAGCTTCAACGTCGGCTTGGGGATAACGTGTGCCAGGGCTTTCCAGTACTCCTCGTCCTTGGAGCTGTCCCGTACCTGTAGCACCTCCTTTGCTGATCTGTCCTTCTCCCTGGGGGCCAGAGAACAAAGCCCTGGGGCTCAGCTCTTCACAGGTGACCAACAGCCCCATACCCCTGAGCTGCACTGAGCACCAGCGCCATCGTCACACAAATGAGCACGACCCCACGGCTGGTACCTGCCTGCCCCATGGCTTTGCTTCCCTCCCCGGGCTGCTGGTCATCTCCTGCCTGGTGGTCCCCAGCCATCCCTTGCTCAGGCACCGTCTGTACCCCCTTGCCGTGGTGGGACCCTCCTCACCCCTCTGTAGTCTTGCAGGGCAGGCAGAGGAAGCTCTTGCACCAGCCAGGGCAATACAGTCACTCCCAGCCCTGGCTGCACACCCCCATAGCCCCCTCTGTGCCCCAGTGTGGCCCCCTCCCAGTGACAACAGCCCCGCTCTGCCCCTACTCCTACCTCAGCTTGTCAAAACCCCGCACAAACGCTTTCAGGATCTTTAGGACATCATCAGCGTGGAAGTACACAGATGGAAGGGAGCCCAGCAAGCTCCGAGGGGATTTGAGCTTGTTCCTCTGGGCACCGGATCCACCGTCCTCTCTGTCCTCAGCTAGATCCGTGACATCTTCTGCACCTGGGCTGCCCTGGCTCTGGAGGGAAGGCCAGCAAGCTGGGCAATGAGCCTTCCACCACCTCCTCCTCCCCAAGAGCCACCTTCTCTCTGGGAGTTTCCACCTGCCCGCAGCCTTGTCCCTTGGCAAATTTAGGGAGCTGAGGCAAAAATTCATGTGCAGGAGGCTCTGTTCAGCCATGGCAGAAGAAGATTACAACCCCTCAGCCCTGGCATGTTCATCTCCCTTGTCCGGTCACAGGGAAACATTTCAGGGTCAACACGCTGGTCCCCCTCTCTGCCTTCCCTGGGTGTTCAGATGTTCTGCTCCCCCTTCCCTGGACCCCTGGCTCTGCTGGGCTCTCCCCACTGCTGTCCCTGGTGGTCCCACCTGGCTGACAGCCATCTCCTGGGCTTTGTACTTCAAGAAAAAATCCACCAGCTGGTACAGGTCATCCTCACTGTCAATCTCGAGGGCCTAGGGAGCAGAGGAACCAGGTTAGCGTCCCTCAAAGATGTCACAGGAGGGGGAGAGAAACGAAGAGCATTTTCCAGGAGCAGAGAGTGCCCCTCTGGCAATACCACGCAAGGCAGGAGTGGATGGTAAGAAGTGGTTAGTGTGGGACAGCTGGGGGTATCTGTGGATGGGAGAGTCTGAGAACAGGCTGGAGGGGCCCTGGAGATGTTGTTTAATTCATCAGCAGGCTGGCCTTGAGCCGAGAAGTGTCTGGCCACAGTGCTTCACACCCTCCTGCCATGCTCCTCCTGCCCCAGAGCCCCCCAGCAGCCCAGCCGGACCTTGCTGGGGCGGCTCAGTTCTGTGCCATGCGGACATGGGACAGAGAGCTTTCTCTGGTGACTGCCAGCCTTCCCTGCAGACCCTGATGGGTCAAGCCACAACTCACCGCAAAGATGGAGTCGAGCTTCATGAGGGTACGCTCGTGCCTCCCCAGTGCCTGCAGGGACCTCAGCAGCTTGCTCTCAATGAGGAAACCCTTGGGAGATGGCAGAGAAGAGGGTGGAGAGAAATAGCATGTCCAGCCCTGCACAGAAGCCAGCCCATGCCACGCTATGGCTGCACCATCCTGCGACAGCAGGCTGAGCGGGGACGGTGGGCAGTGGCTGGGCAGCGTGAGGCTGGCAGGGCCAGGAGGCTCTGGAACAGCCAGCCAGCAGACAGGGAAGGTAGAGTCATCAGCAGGGTGATGCCAAAAGGACGTCATGATCTGAAGCTCCTGTTGAGTGTCCCCAGAGGCAGGGAACAGCCTGGAGGATCAGATGCAGTAGGTTTGCCTGTGCTTATTCTGGCCTGGGGAGCTGTGGATTTGGGCAACGGTGCTGTGCCTGCCAATACCTTTTATTAGCATCATATATGTGCCACACACAGTGGAAAGACCTGGAGATCCTCTCCTGGCCTGTGGGGCAGCAATCTGACAACAGGCTGCTTGGCATAGCAAGGCAGTGCCATGCAGAAGCTTTCATCCCAAGATGTGGAGCTTGGAAGAGATCCACCACAAGCCAGAGCAACCCCAGGACAGCGTGCCTGCTCCCTGGTCAAGGCATGTGCTACATCGTCACGCACCGACTCGTCACTGATGAGCTCCAGAATCCTCTTGGCAGTCTTCTTGGAGATATTTCGCAGGGGTGTGACTCTACCCTCAACCTTCACTGTGTTTTCTTTTCCTCCTTCTCCACTGCCCACTTCTTCCTTCTCCTTCTCTCTCCCTTCCTCCTCCTGTCCCCCAGAGCTGCTCTCTGAAACATGAAGAAGGGTGAGCAAAAGCCTTTGTGCTTTGAGTGTGCTCCTCAGGCTGTGCTCCCCAGTCACATCACTGCAGGAGTCATCAGGGAAATCACAATTGTTCCCCACAACCTGGAAAGCACCCCAAAGATCTTGGGACACGAGCTGGTTCTTGGGCGGCTTGTCTGGAACTGGGAGCACTGGGCAAAAGTACAGTGCAAAGATCCCCAAGCTGGCTTGGCATGAGTCAGCTCAGGGCTGAGGACAGCCCCTGTCTGGGCTTGCAATGTCACCCCTGTAAGATCCCACCTTGCAATGGCAAGGACAGGAGTGACAGAAGGGGCTGTCATGGAGGAAGGTGAAGGTCTCCCAGTGCCACAAGGATGACAAAAGCATTGGGCATCCCACCTGTCAGGACTTCTGCAGCCAGCTTGGTCGCCATCCTCTTCACTTTGTAATGCCCAAGGGGGCCAGTGTTATTCAGGAACCAGTAACGAGGCTCTTCCCAGGGCAGTCCCAGTTGCTGAGTGTGAATGACACGGTCTGCATCGAGGGCTTTCCGCATCAGCCCTTTGGCTTCCTCCTCATTCATAAGCCAGACCTCCGTGAATTTCTCAGCATCACTGATAGCAAAGTGCCTGTGCAGAAGGGAGATGGCCCATGGAAGGAGGCTCTGTGCCCCAAAACGATGAGTCAGCTTCCCCCGCACCTCACTTAGGTGCTCTGAGGCCTCATCACAGGTGGGTGCCCATGCACACCCCACCTCATCCTCCTCTGCACCTCCTTGCACTGCCCCGTGATGCGCTCGCAGTCGGCTGCCAGGCTGTGGTTCTCCTCTCTGAACTGCTTCTCTTGGTTAGCCAGTTTTGTTCTCAGGTTATTGAGCAAGCTGTGGAGCCTGGGGAGGGACAGCAAAACTGGGCATCCCCAAAGAGGCACCTTCAGGCATACCCAGCTTGTATGAAGACTTTGGGATTTGGGGCTGCTTATCTATTACTCAGTGCCAAGGCCTGACTGACCCTGGTGCAGCTGGCACAGGTTGGCCACGGCCAGCCTATTCAAAGTGCTCTGGGGATGGCCCTGCTCTGGGCTAACCCCTACCCCTGCCCCTGCCCAGGGATGGGCTGGGACAGAGCTCGTTGGCCTGTGCTAGATGATGGGCTCCACAAAAAATGGCATATGGGAGGTAACAGCAGGTAAGGCAGAGCCCATCTTCCAGGGATGGTTTTTTACCGGTTGAGCTTCCTTTTCTGCTGGGATCTGATGATGGTGTTCTCCTCATCCTGTTTCCTAAGCACCTGAAGGTTGTACTCCAGCTTCTCCTGGTTCAGCTGATAGACAGCTTTCATCTGCTGGAGCTGCCTCTCCAGGTTCTGGCATTCCAAAAAACATGAAAACAAGCCGTGCCGTGAGCAAAAGCCACACTGAAGCCTGGATCCTACTAATCTCCAGCGTGCTGCTGCCTCCCTCCCCAAATGGCTCAGAGCCATCTGCGAACATTACACACTCTGTGTCACCTTCCAGGTTATCAATATGACAGCGAAGAAACCGCAAAGTCAGGACTGCCCTCGCTGGACTTGCCTTTTCAGGCTGACAGGGACCTTGTAACAGTAATATTTCACTTGCAGTTGTGCAAAACCTTCTAGACATCAGCCCTAGACTGTATTACCCTGAGCTTCCTAGGAGGACATCCCATGGGACACACAATGAGCCTTTCTAAAGTCCAAATGCAACATGTCCTGTTTCTACCGTGTAGCCCAGGAAACAACACACAGCAACTAGCAGGGGAGGTGTCAGTGGCAGCAGGGCTTTCTGCTGAGCAGAGGAGGCTGAATAATGCTGGGCAAAGCCAAACCTGACAGCCTAGGACCAATGCCGGGGCTGCCGTCTAGGGGACTGGCAGGATTGCAGAGAGCCACAGATGCACTGCTTTGTTGCCACCGCTGCTCGCAGAGAATGCAGTGGATTAAAAGGTATCTGTATCTCAGGGAAGCCATGGCTATGAGGTTTGGATCTGCAGCGAGAGCCCATGGTGCATATTCAGCCAGTGGTGTGCCAGGGCTGCGCTCTTCCACTGCATGCCCTCCTACCTGAGTAAGTGCAAACTCACGACAGTTCTCACACCAGGTAGACTTCATGGGCATTAGAGAAATCATGGTCTATGGCTAGATGTCAGAGGAAAAAGCTCACACCTCCTAGGCCAAGACCCTGAAAAATTTGGAAATTGGGTTGACCTGAAATGATCTGGTGTCAGGACACTCACACCGTTAAATCCTCCTATCAATCATGATGCCAGCAGTAGCAAATCCTTCGACATTTCTGAGGTGCTTCAGATGTCCTAGAGCTACAGTTCACGTGCTACAGACCTCTGAGAGCCAAGGGCAGACGGACACTGTGGTGTAGGACCCATGGAGAGGAGAGAACAGCTCCATCACCCTGTTGACACGGTGCTGGACTGTGCACGCTGAAGAGCTGAGGTGACCAGATACCAGCTGCAGCTTTCATACCACCTAGATGCCCCACAATCAGCTACGCATAGAAAACCTCAGGGAGATCTGATCCACTGCCTCCCCACATGGCACACGCCAGCCTTTTCTGTACCTGCACATCATTCTCCAGCTGGATCTTCATGCTGTTATACTCCTCCTCATCCTGCACCCGCAGCTGATTCAGCTGTTTCTCAAACTCTTCCACCTTCCTCATACGGGCATGCAGGTATTCCAGCTACAGGCAAAAGGAGAATGTCATCCATCAGTGGTGATAGCTTCCTCCCGTGATCACAGCTACTTTGGCCAGCCCAAAGCAAGGTCATGCATGGATAATAAGCCTGCAGAGCAGGCTGAAAAACTGCCCCTCTGCCCCCCACACTCCTTAGGAACCAGCTGCCTTCATGTACATGTGTCTTTCAAGGCAGCCCAGTGCTGGAGAGCAGCACTGGTCCTGGCAGCCTTTGGACCCTCACTACAAGAAAGACATTGAGGTGCTGGAGCCTGTCCAAAGAAGGGCAACGAAGCTGGTGAGGGGCCTGGAGTACAAGTCTCATGAGGAGCGGCTGAGGAACTGGGGTTGTTAACCTGGAGAAAAGGAGGCTGAGGGGAGACCTTATCGCTCTCTACAACTACCTAAAAGGAGGTTGTAGCAAGGTGGGGGTCAGCCTCTTCTCCGAAGTAACGAGTGATAGGGCAAGAGGAAAGGGCCTCAAATTGCACCAGGAGATGTTTAGATTGGATATTAGGAAAAATTTCTTCACTGAAAGAGTTGTCAAGCACTGGAACAGGCTGCCCAGGGAAGTGGTTGAGTCACCATCCCTGGAGGTATTTAAAAGACTTGTAGACATGGTGCTTAGGGCCATGGTTTAGTCGTGGACTTCGCAGTGCTAGGTTAACAGTTGGACTCAATGATCTTAAGGGCCTATTCCAACCTAAATGATTCTATGAGTCTACGATTCTAAATCTCACATGGTCCTTACCTCCTGCGCATTGTGGGCCTGGATGGCTTCCTCCCATTTCCTCCTGTTGTTGTCCAGCAGCTCTCGCCGTTCAAGCTCAAAAGCCTTCTGTGAAGGAGACAGAGCCCTTCACCATCATGTTGGCACCACTCGTTGCCAACCTTACACTGGCCCAGGCTAGCAGCCTCCAGGAGAGGATCAGCTGCAGACTGGTGCCACTGTCCAATGAACACATACTGTTCCCTCCTCTCCATGCCAGGACCCTGCTGGCAGACACCTCACACTGCGACCCAACGGGGACTGCTGCTATCAGCCACCCAGAGCTGGGAGGGATGCTCTGGGTGGTGGGTAGCTCTGCAAGTTGACTGGAAATCATTGCTTGATGATTAGCAGCGGAGCTTGGTCAGACAGCCACCCGATTTCACCTTACAAGACACTTAATGGGGAGAGATGCCCTCACTCAGCAACAAATGCAGGTTTGATCTGTGAGGTGGGACTTGGTGCTCTACAGAGGGTAAGGCTAAAGAACCACAGTGGTCCTTTCTGGCTTTTAGAGATGAATAATCAGCCATCAAGCAGCAACAGCTTTCACATGCCACCGAGTTGCTCTGCACTGAACCACAGTCATTCACAGCACAGAACAAACCAGTCCCTCAGCACTCAGCACCATTCAGTGCTCCTGCTTGGCTGGATTTCAGCCTCATTCACCAAGACATCAGCCCTGCTGCTCTGGACAGTAGTCAACCCAGCCAGTGCAATGAGCCTGAGGCTTTTTTGCCATAGATACGGAGAAGCAAGCGGCTGCAGGTTTTCTCATTGGACTCTTCCTTCACCATGTGAACTGGCTACCTCAATCTGCAGGAGTTCATGACGGTAATTTTTCAGCATGAGCCTGATCTGTTCCTCCATTCTCTCCAAAAGCAAGTGAATATCATCTGACTGCTTCTTAATGGCCCACACGTATTGTTCATCTTTGTTTTTCAGCTCCTGGAGGAAGAGAGCAGATGCTGAAATCAGAGAGAAGTATTTGACCAGGAGTCCTCAGGGGCTAAGTGAGATGGTAAGACCCAGACACTGCCTTTTCCAAAGGAGAAGAGGAGTTGAGAACAAAGAGCCAAAGTCAAGAGGTAGTTAGGAGGGAAGATGGGAGGAAAGACAGATCATCGCTGCCAAAAGGTCCAGGTGAGATGGAGTGGGAGGTGACATGCTGTGCCTGCAGACATACCACTCCTTCTCTGGGGGCCAGGGAACCTGCTATGGGGAAGGCTTTCTTCTCTCTACAAAAACACTCCCCCTCTCTGCTCATTTGCCTTTTTTTATGGTGCAGTCTGGGACCTGCCAGTTTGTCTTACTGCTGCCAGTGTCCTGTGTGTCTTGTCCTTGTACACTGAACAGTGCCAGGGCACCCGATCTCATCATCCACATTGGGATGCCGGCACTGCAACTCCTGGCACAGTTTTGACCCAGACCAACTGACACTACACAGATCCCTGCCAGGTACTGGTGAATTGAAGAGCAAGACAGGGATGGCCACTGCTTTAGAACAGCATTCTTCAGAGCTTAAAACCCCCCATTCTTCCCAGTTGCCCCTGCCTGGTCCCCACGCTACCTGCTGCAGTTCACTGATGAGCTTGTTCTTCTCCTCCAGAAGCAGCGCGCACTGCTGCTGCTGTTGGTTCAGCAGCTGCCACAGCTCCTGTGGGATCGTCATCTCCTTGGCCAAGGCCCACTTGGAGGTGATCTCCTCAAACTTGTATGTGCTAGACTTGGCTTCATTCTCCAGCTTCTCCACCCTGCAGGCAGTAAGGAGCACACAGCAAACGGGGAGCTGGTGCAGGGCAGCAAGTTCTTCAGATGTGGTTCAGTGGCCTACGCTGCAGGAGCACTTTCCTGCATAACCCAGTTTGAATTCAAAGTGGCATCAAGATATCAGTGGAGCAGTAGCTTTCTTGCAAGTGCTTGTCAGAACATCAGACAAGGGCAGAGCTGGCATCCTGCAGTCCCTTCTCTTCAGACAGGCATTTCCCCAGCTCTGCCCTTCCCCAGTGCTCTAACAACCGCTTATTTGGAGGAGAAAAGACTAAAGAGCTCAGCTCAAGCAGCAGTCACCTTCACATGGAGCACTAGTTCTGCAAGCGAGCTGTCTCTGGGCAAGAGGTGATGTACAAGCAGTGCCAAACAGCCTCCCAGCTACGTCTAGACTTGGTAGTCAAACTGTCCAGAGACCATACTCCAGCTAAAGCCAAATGGCACTGAACAGCCGACATCCATATTACAAAAGTCTTTCCTCTTCCAAACAGAGGCACCATCCAACGTGCTCTGGGGATGGCTCTTGGGTCATCTTGAACATCTTGAACAGTGGCCACCACCTCTGCCAACCCCAAACCTGCTCTACAGGCCGTTGCTGGACACACCACCCAGTTCCTTAATGAGATTCCCACAGGGAATCCCACTGAGCAAGGGACACACATCCTGCTACAGCCAGCCTCACATAAAATGTTCCTACAGTGCCCTCCAAAGGCAGTAGGAGCAAAAACCTCAGTGTTTCCTAGCTGGTCTCGGAATCCTGGGGCCAGGGCTGAAAGAGCCAGTCCCTTGGACACTGCCCAGCTCCGCTGGTGAAGCAGGACAGATTTGCCCAGGAAGGCATACAGAGAGGATCAGAGAATAACCGAGGCTGGAAGGGCTTCGGGAAATCTCTGGCTCCTGGTCACAGCAGGATTAACTTCAACGTCAGAGCAGGTTGTGCAGGGCCCTGTCCAGGTATGTGCTGAATATCTCCATGGAGGATCTCTACACCACCAGGGGCTCCTGACCCAGCATCTGACCACCCTCACTGCAAAGACCTTAATACCCAATTTCTCAAATTAGCACAGCCTCACGTTCTTCCCACTCCTCACACACAGCCTGATGTGGCTGTCCCCACACATTCCCATAGTATGGCTAATAACTACTCCTATCTCTCTGACTGGAGCGTAACCTCTGGAAACAGGCCATTTACTGAGACACCTCTTAGCCCAAGGTGGCACATTCTTTACCACGGTGTCACCTCCAGGCTCAGGAGAGCTGCTCAGCAAGCCAGAAGCAAGGGCAGCTGCACCTGTGCTTCTCAAGCAGGAAGACCACAAGTATACGTAGTACAGGCTCCTGGTGAAAAGTTGAGAACAAGCTGCGTTTCTCACACTCTGGAGCTCTAGATGTGATGGGTCTGGAGGAGATTGGTAACCAGCCAGTCCGTAGTACTGCAGTGCCACCTGGGGAAGCCACCAGCCTTGTCCTTGTCCAGGTTTTGGCTGGGACAGAGTTAATCTTCTTCCTAGTAACTGGTACAGTGTGTTTTGGATTTAGTGTGAGCATAATGTTGATAACACATCGATGTTTTAGTTGTTGCTAAGTAGCGCATATCCTAAGTTAAAGATTTTTTCAGTTTCCCATGCTCTGCCAGCAAGCAGGTGTACAAGAAGCTGGGAGGGAGCATGGCCAGGACAGCTGACCTGAACTTGCCAAAGGGATATTCCATACCATAGGATGTCATGCTCAGTACATAAACTAGGGGGGTCATGCTCAGTATATAACTAGGAGGAGTTGGCTGATAGGGGGGGATCACTGCCTGGGCATTGGTCAGTGGGTGGTGAGCAATTGCATTGTGCATCATTTGTCTTTTCTTGGGGTTTATTTCCTTTTTTTATTATTATTATTATATTCCTTTCCATTACTATCATTATTTACTATTATTATTATTGTTAGATTATATCTTATTTTACTTTAGTTATTAAATTGTTCTCATCTCAACCCACAAGTTATTTTTTTTGATTCTCCTCCCCATCTCACTGGGGGGGGGAAGAGTGAGCAAGCAGCTGTGTGGTGTGCCTAGTTGCTGCCTGGGGTTAAACCATAACAACCTGCAGAGCTCTATAGAGATCCAGCTGTGGCAGGTGGGACCCGGAGGTTCTTTGTTTGCCTAAATTTTCCTTTTGAACATAAATTCAGTGTAGCCCTAACTGCTAAGCGTTCCTGGATGACCGGCATTAGAATGTCCTCAGAAAGCTGCACCAACATTTGCACTGCTCCTTCCCAGCAGCGCAGACCCACTGTGCAGTCTCTTACCTCTGTAGCTTCAGCTCTGCCTCCTCTGCCCTCCTTTGCATTTCTCTCAAGTCAGCAGCCACTTGGATATTTGTCACCATCTGCGTGCCATCAAAAAGCAGCTTGGCCAGCCTCTGTGAAGGAGGTGGTACATATCTCATACCCAGAGACTTGAGCTCTGGAAGGAGGGATACTGGAGCAACTTTTGCTATGCCTGTCCACAGTCTGGCTCCTATCCCTATGCCGAGGTGCCTATGTGGACCTATAAGCCCTGTCTTCCCATGCTATGTCAAGATTGAGGAGCACTGCATGGACCTCAATGCACCCGTGGGTCCTCCCTCTCCTTGGAAAGCCCTGCAGGCCATCAGCACCAAGAGGAATGTGCTCAGAGCACCTTCTTGTTTTGCTTCCCCTGCATGTGCAGATGAGGCTAGGTGTCTGAGTTGGGGTTTGGATGCACAGCGTCAGACCCAGATCTTTCCAATCCATGGGCTGCTTGTCACAGGGAAATCATATCCCCAGGATCTGGCCCAAGAATCACTCCCCACTCAGTCCTGAGGAGTTTCTGTCCCTGCTTCTTCTCACATAAATGCTGCTCTGTGACACTAAGCACCGCCCAAAGGTAAAACGAGGGTAAAGCCAAATGTCTAGAGGTCAGGGACCCGAGAGGACCTTCCTGTCCTACTGCCGCACCTGCCTGCTCTCCTCAATCTGCTTGTGGCTCCTTCTCTGCTCTTCCTCCACCTGAGCCACCTTCAGCTCCACATCTTCTCCAAGAGCCTCCCTGGGCAGAAAAGGGGAAAAAACAGAACATTTTATAAGACACCATCTTTCTAATGCTCGGAGAGGGCCTTGGATCTGGGATCCCAGCCCAGACCGCATGGTTCAGCACAGCACACTTCGCTGTCTCTTCCCCTCAGTACATTTAGTCCCAGGTCAGGAGGTCCCCACAGTTGCAGAAAAGAGACAGGAAAGGGTAGGACAGCCTCCTCGAGGGAAAATGGGGTCCAGGCTTCCCTTTCTGGAGCTGGGAGTGCAGCCCACGGCTGGTTACTGCTGCAGCACAGGGCTGGGGGGCTCAGCCCTTGTTTGCTTCTCAAGGGGAGGAGGGCAGAGGCTGTCTGGGGGCAGCCCTTGGGTGGGGTGACTGTGGCGGACCCTTGCCTGGCCATGAAGACAGCCCGCTTCTGTCTGGAGCCATTTCGGTATTAGCACCGACCCCATGCTAGTTCCTTGGGACCCTTAGTGTAACCTAAAGGGAACGCTCTGGGATCAGGAAGGAGAAAACAGGAGAAAAAAGGGTAAGGGATCTGGAACCGGCACTGGTTTGAGGGTGGGGACGTCCACCACGGTGCCAGTTCGGGAAGAGGAAACCCTCCCAGTTCGGGGAAGAGGAAACCCCCTGTGACCAGACGCGGGGTCCGGGGAGGAGGTGCGCGACTTGGTGCCGGCTGGGAGCAGGGAAGGGGCCCGGGCCCAGCTCGGGTTGAGGGGGAGCCGGCTGGCGGTGCAGGCCGCCACAACCGGGGCGCTGGCGGACGAGCCCCCGTCTCTCACCGGCGCTTGGCATCGAGGCGGGCGGCGAGGCGGCGGCGGCGGGCGGCGATTCGCTCCTGGGGGCCGGGGCCGGG